AAATGTAAGTTAGTTTTCAAATGTACACAAGGTGAAGGGTTTTTTCAACTCTTTGATCTGCTTTGCTGGCTAAATGATGTGGAATCCAGTAATGTATTTAAATGTCATATATTATATCACGTCCTTGTACTTGGGATTCCTGGCCTGGCCACAACAATTAATATTGAAATTAGATGCTACTGAAGGATTCTAGTAGCTGCTGAACTCTCTAATTTGGTCCCTTATCAATTTGACTTATCTGTTTATTTTTATTTTTTCCTTTTAAACTTTAACAGAACTTTTAACTGCTAGTCAAGCTGAGAACTGACTATAAAACTTCTGGCTTTGGACATAAAACACTGGGTATCTAATCTAGCACGTGGATAGCACCACACAATTCCTTAAAGGTTTCAATAGTCTCTCAGTTGGTCTTACTGGAATGAAAAGCATATACATATTTTTGTGCTGTCATAGGCCACCTAGCTACTTAGGAGTAGGACTCGCAAAATAAATTCATACTGTGATATAATTGCTCACATAATGAGATTGATTGGTTTTCATTATTTTCCCTTGACTTCCTTTCTTTGGTAATTAAGGAGGAGTGGGGAAGACACATCGGAACTCATAGTTAACTTGAAAAAACTACACTGGTCTTTTGTAGGACTGATGTGCAATTTAGTTTGTAGTTTAGTACCTTCAGTATAAAATAATATTCTCCCTGTGATTAAGAATACGCAGAGTTGGCTGTCTTTGTCAACTCTTCCTGACCTTTGTAGCATAAGACAAACTCAAAAATGCACTTGCATGAATTCTCACTCCTATCTATTTGCCCTGGCAGTGAAGTGTGCCAGTTTCCAATCATGCATGATATTCCTGCCAAGAATTGATTTGTGGGCTGTGGAGACATGTCATAAAGTTAATGACGATGGTGACGCATCTTCAATTAACCATCAAGTTTATGAGGAGAAAGAATCCTCTTTGACAAAAAGTGGAGTTGTGGAAGAGGAAAATGAGTCACCCATCCATAAATGTATACTGGTTGAAATGACAGAACCTCAAAATGCTGCCCAAAGTATATCACCTGCCTGGAGCTCATTTGTTGAGCAGGTGGAATCCATATCCGTGTCTACTTCCTTGATGATTCTGGTATGAGTTTGATTTATTTGGATAATTTTTTTTTGACATATCTCATGTTAAAAGTATGCGACAAGATACACCTTCTACTTATGTAGCAATGCTCTCACAATACTTAATTGAAATTTTCATATGAAATTAACTCTAGGGAATCTTGAATGATATTATAGTACATGTTATTCTTTTTTTTTTCAACAAATATAAATTTAATTAGGATTCTGCAAGCCTAACTGAATTAGTAATCAAATTCTAGCATAACATGTATAATGTATAATGAAGATGAGATATGAAAATGCTTTCTTGGCATAGAATCAATAACTTTGGCTAAAGGTTTTCAAGTTGGGAATTGTTTGTCTACCCATGAAAACAATGTTCTTGTATGTTGAGTGAATTCTATTTATTACTAGTTGGCAACCTTTCACATCTGCAGTCTTTTAACCTGTACTACATAAAAAGTTTCATGTGCATCAGTTTTTCCTGTGCAAGAATATCTAAAACTATACCAAATTACTTCTTCGAATATCAAAATTAGTGCTTTTTTTTACCTTTCCTGTTAGAGATTGATTAGTTTAGCTATTGATTAGAGAGTGCTGTTATGTGGCCATTCAGTCCATGTCCTTGCTTGTGTGCTGCAGGCAACCTCAGAGCTTCCATCTTCGGAACTTCCCCCGAGAATAAGGCATTTCTTTGAAAACAATAGCTCGAATAGCAGGCATTCAACTCCATTGGAGCACACAGTACCCCGATTTCCTGTGCATATTGATGGGAATTTCAACCATGATACAGTGATCAGTCTTTCAGCAGAAGCATTATTGAGAGACATAATTCAGCCATTTGTTCAGTTGATTCATCTTAAAGCTCACATCCCTACAAATATACCCAAACATCATAAAACTTGTGATTCCGTTCTTGCTTGTTCAAATGCAGAATATGACAATCAAAATCTTTGTTCAGTTGTTAAAAATGAGGCTGGCACACAATGTCCTCATGGTCCTTTAAATGTTCCACCACCACCCAATAATAGAAGTTTGAAAGGAAAATCAAGCATGTTGTTGGCAATCTCTACATTTGGCTATCAAGTTCTGCGGTATCCTCATTTTGCTGAACTCTGTTGGGTCACATCTAAACTTAAAGAAGGTCCTTGTGCAGATGTTAGTGGTCCTTGGAAGGGATGGCCTTTCAATTCTTGCATTATTCGTCCCTGTAACTCATTAGATAAGGTGGCTGCTGCTTGTAGCTCTGGCAATATTAAAAGCAAAGAGAGATCAGGTTTAGTCAGAGGGTTACTTGCTGTTGGTTTATCAGCATACAAGGGTGAGTACAATTCACTTAGAGAGGTCTCCTTTGAGGTAAGGAAAGTTCTTGAGCTTCTAGTTGGACAAGTAAATGAAAAAATTCTGGCTGGGAAAGATAGATATCAATATGTTCGTCTTCTATCACAAGTGGCTTACCTGGAAGATGTGGTCAACAGCTGGGCATATGCACTGCAGAGGTACGGTGGACTGTTATCATTTGTTTGTTAATTCATCCATTTCACTTGTAGATTGATCGCTCACAACCTTTTTTCTCATTTCAGTTTAGAGCCCGACACTCAAGTGAAAGTGGCAAATGCTAAACTGAACACCATGGAATTCCCAGGTAATGATACCTGTGCAGATGACTCTGTTGAAAGACAGCACAAGGGAGACACTTCTGATAGAAACTTCCATGAAACGGAAAGGCTGGAAGAAAGTCCAAAGGGGCTTTCTGATAAAAATCAGGAAGGAGGTGAATCAAATAAAGTAGAAAATGGTTTTTGTGATCTTAACCCTGAGGACAGAGCTATACTTTCAGAAGATGGATCAGAACAGCATACCATCCCCTGTGAAGGTGCCAAAACTGATAACCATCAAAATTTTCCTGCTGATAATCAGTTGGTTGGTAATATTACTAAGGAGCAGAATGGGACCTCTCACAGACAAAGCGAACCTGAAATTTCTAAAAATCTTGCAGTTACTGATGGAAATTCAGAAACCTTGAAACATCCTAATGGATATACACTCACAGAACCTGCCCCCTTTTCTGAGAATGGTCTCTGCAATTCAGGTGAATTGGGTGCCTTGAATCTCTCTGACCCTGGGAGCTCCTGCAATCAGAGTAATGGGTTGGCTGCAGAGGGAATGATAACATTTGATGATACCGAACCTAATCATAGTGAACATGATGAAGACATTGATGTCTCTCCAGTTGAAACTAGCTGTCCTCCTAATTCTGGCTTTGTGTGTTTGTATCGCTGCTGCTCTGTATGTCTTAATGCTGTACACGACATGATTCAGAAATTCCTTGCTTGTAAATTGGCATCAAACAAGAGCAATTTGACAGTAGAGGATGTTCACGATGCTGTTGCATCATTGTCAGTGGATCTTCTTTCGGTGATTAGAAAAATTGATACTACTGAAGAAATCAGCAATTCACTCAAGGAAAGCTCTGATAGAAATCCTGAAAGATATGATGACTTCTCAGAATGGCATAGCTGTCAATGTAAAAGTTCTGAAGGTAGTTCAATTATCCCAACAGAATGTGGTTGTCACTCTGTGTTCGAATCTGTAACTGTGAAAGCAAGTCATTCGCCAGGCTCCCAGTTTGGACTTGACCCAAAATTCATTTTCAGAGATGGCATTCTTGTCCTTGTAGATACCACCGAGGATGTTTCTTTCCATTGTAAATACGAGACTTTGTGCCTTTGTTCTCTTGTAAAATCAGTAGCAATGATGAAGCAACCTTCTGGTTGATTTTGCACAGCTTGGAATTGCCTGGCAATGGCAACTCGGGTCCTTCACGCAGTTTGTAGGTTTATATCCTCTTCCTATATAGAATCAAAATTTTGTCAGTAAGTTCCAATATAAAGATGTTATTTTGTTTACCATTTTCAGCAATTCAAAGAGCTTTATTTTTTAATTGTAGCTTTAACTCCGTGATTCTCAAGTCAAGTACTACCGAGATTACAGAATCTAACAATAACATCATGGATGGTTACCCCATGGTTGAGTAAATTATCCAGCTAGCTAGAAAATAGAAAGGGATAAGTGCTCGGGTAAGTCTAAGGTTTAAAACAATAAGAAGCGGACAAGAGAGCATCAGATGCTGGCAAGTTGTTACATCGTTGTTGCAGATCATCGATGCATGTATGCTGTGACAATAATTTGTTACCGTCATTGTCACCAGGCGTGTCGGTGGCTTCTCTGCAAAGCAGGGGATTGGAATTTTGGGTTTTGACTACCTGTCTTGGTGGTGGGGAATGTCTGTGGAGCAACAAGAGAATGTTGCATAAAGGTAAGGCAATTTCCAGCAGGACAAGTCTTACCAGCTCTAGTCCCTGACCCTCTTATAAATAACGTATCCAGAGCTGTGGGTATTTTGAACCGCTGTTTGTCAACAAGGCACTGGCCAACTTTGTTTGGATAGGAGGGGAAAAGAAGGGAAGGTTATTAAAGGCAAGTGCTTGAAGGAAATGGTAGGGCTTGAACCTCTTTGTTTGGATATGCAAGGAAATGGGAAGGGAATAGAAAGATTATTCCTTGAGGATGAAATATAGTGTCCAATTATGCATCCATATTCCGTGTCTTCCACAGCATAACTCAGGAAAACCTTGCTCCTCGATCAAAATTAAGCAAGAGCAGCAGCAGAGGGTGTTCATGATGTTGCAGTATCGTTGTTGATGGGTCTCTCAGCAATCACAGAAGGTTGATATTAATTGGCAAGTAATCTGACAAATCATTTTTATGAAGCTTGACATGGGAATCCTGAAAAACTTCCAGACTGTCCGAAATTGTTCAGCTTTGATTCCAATAGTTATATAGATTTGGTTCTGATTTCACTTGCTTACTTGGTATAAAGCCTGCTCTTCGGACTTCAAAACAAATTGAATTATGGTTACCAAGTCTGACATCAAAGGATCACCCTGTCGTTGAGTACCCTACCTCCAGCATGCTAAAATAAAAACAAAATATTGATTAATTCCATGTTCTTACATATATAGGAGAATATCATGCGATTGGTAATTAACAACAGGAATGTCGGTAGCTTCTCTGCCATGCAAGCAGGGCACAGATGCTGGAATTTGGGTTTCAGTGCCTGTTTTGGTTCCATCTCAAGTAATCCTGGTAAATTTGAAGGTACAGCAGTTTCCAGCAGAAAAGGCCTGATCAGCTCTAGGCCCGGATCCTTTTTTATTGTTGAATCCTGGATAGTCAGCTTTCTTGAACTTAACTTTCTCAACCAAGCACACCTTTCTTGAACCTAACTTTCTCAACCAAGCACAGCCCAGCATCCTCTGCTAATCTCTCGATATCCCACTTCCTGTAAGGCTCTGTGGTTTTATGAGTCACATGTATTTCTCCATTCACTTCCAACATGTCATAAGCACTCCCCAGGAAGCCCTCCACCAACCTTTGATGTTTCCTAAGAAGAGAAATATATGTCATTACACAGTTAAATATAAAAACATTTTCCAATCTTGCTTTTGACCTAGCAGTTCAAAACAAAACATTATATAAAATTGCAGACAAAAGAGAGGTCTCACGTTTAAATCCTGCCATTTATACCTCGAGAACAAAAGGCGTCAAATGACCTATGATGAAATGTACCATCAGTCGATCGTCTTAGCTGAACTTACTCAATTTGGCGAGTATTTGATTCACTCCTTTTGAGAGCTGTAGCGAGAAAATTATAGACTATCCTGTCGAACAAATTCTGATTCAGAAGAGGATGCTTGCTCATAGTATGTGCATCAACTCCATGCATTATGGTACATCCAAGTTCCTCTAGCTCACTTAAGTTTGTTGCAGCTCTTGAATACTACAGCATCATGGTATTTTATGTTTACAGAAGAACCGAAGGCTTTGCCCAAGCAAGCAGCAAAAGAAAAATCACCTTCTCCTACCAGTAGTATTTTATGACAACTGCTGTAATGCCTTATCCATTTCTCTTCCTTATTGTTATCATCTATGCTAAGCATTTCCATTTGGTTCTCTAAACTATGCATACTTTCTATTGGCTCTCTCTTCTGTTGAAAATGGCCAGTTCTAGGTTGTAATGAAGGAAAAGAATTTTAGATGAGATGAACAGCTGACAGGAAGTCTACTATTTTAAAAAAGACCAACGAGGGTGACTTTATGGTGGAAGAATACATCATTATGTTTCCATTTGTGAGAAACTATTTCATAAGGCTTAGGCTCATTTAGACTAAACCAATCACGTTTCAGGAATCCAGTGCAGCAGCGAGCCCAGGTGTAAGCTCCACCAATCAATCACACAGATTTAGTCACCATTCTATACGAATTTATGAGATCAAACCAGCAGATCATACTAATGAGAGGATTAACCGAAAAAATGTAGCTAGTCACCAGTGAAAAGAAAAGGGAAGTAAAAAAAAACAAAAGCAAAAGTGTAGGGCATGGAAATAATAGTCTTTCATTTGTTATAATTTTGCATAGACAGAGAAAAAAGCCATGTTCTACAGAGACATTCTTCACTTTAGGCTATGAGGTTGTGAGAATTTTGAGTGATAACATTTCTTTGTAGTCCTTTTTCTGAAGAAATAAATTGGATTCCATTGATTCATATCTTCAAAAGCACTGAAAGACATCCATGAGAAACAATCACAATATATCTCTTATAAAAAGAAAAGGAAAGGAAATCAATCTTGTGCTTCTGTGCCATATTAAGCTAGAAGAGACGATAGTTGCAGCTTTCTTCCTGTAAGACAAATAACCTTGATACATCTTTGAGTTCCATGCTTATATAAATGTGTGTAACCAAAAACAGATAGGTTATCACTTTCAAGCTCAAGCAAAACCAGTCCCAGGCACATCTAGACCAAACAGAAATGTGAAATTGCATTGGACTAAATAAGTTTGGAAGGAAACTTAAAACACTCCCTTTTTTTTTCCGATAAGCCGGAAATATATTGACTAAAACACCATAAGGGAAAGGAACCAACTTGGGGAAAGAGGTTTACATTACAAGCACAGGGCTCAGAAAAATTTGAATAATTGAGCTCCAAAAGTATCAAGCTGAAAGTGAGAAAAACAGCTCCAGTGACATAATGGCATAATTTTAATCAGCCAAGATGAAACCATATGACATATCAAAGCAGAATATAAGATGGCTATAGTATTGGAGCTCAATATTAGCCTTGAGCTAAGCAATCTGATAAATATTACAGAAGTGTGCTATTCACTTGGATGGATTACTATTTGAAGAGAAAGCCATCTCAAAGCACACAACATCATAGTTGTCTGCACAAGACAGTAGATTCTTTTCAGGATGGCAAAAACAGGATTTCAACTTGAATCCTACTGCATCTTCGCTTATGCGAAGAGTATCAATGTCAATAGTTGTATCGATGAAGACGAGAGGAACTTAAAGTTCTGCTCGAAACATATTCAGGCCTTGGGTGCATGATTTATTATGTCAAGCAATTGTAATCCAGGAAAATTTGAAGAGACAACAGTTCCCAACAACAAAAGTCTCATCAGCACAAGAGCCTATCCAATTTTTTTTTCGTATCCTGGATAATCAGAAACTCTGAAATTAACTTTCTTAACCAAGAACAGCCCAGCATCCTCAGCTGATTTCTCAATTTCCCACTTCTTATATGGATACGTGGTCTTGTAGATCACATGAATTTCTTCATTCTCTTCCAATGTATCATGTGCACTCTTCAGGAAGCCCTTCACCAACCTTTTGACGACTCCTAAAGATAGAAATAGAAAATGTGCAATCATTACTTATTCTGTAATTTAGAATAACTATCTAATGAGAATTTAATGAGCCAAGTGGTTCTAGATGAACTTACTGTTGTATATGGTCTCATCCCATGTGATGGTGGGACCACCATATTTATTGAGAAGAGAGGTAGCTGACTACTTTAAAATTAAGTAGTTCGGGTACTGTAGCGCAAGATTGAAATTAGAAGAGAGGAGAAAATTAAGAGAGAAGAAAAGGCAGCAGAACAGTCTGTGCTCTTTCTTTGATTTCCAGCTCGTTCACCGTTGGATCGGGCTGAGATTTTGACAGCAACTTCTAGACATGTTGATCTTAATTCTGGACGGTCGGATCGAAGATTAGTGGTGTGGAAGCTGGTCGTTTTGACAGAAAAAGGGGCTGTTAGTTTTGTTAGTTTTTCTCAAATAATTCTCCTTTAATCTTGTTGTAATCCGAGAATAAGTTGTTCTTGATGATATATATGTTATATCTCTTAGTTGAATCTGAGGAAGAATGATTGTGAACCCATTATTTGTTGATAGTGGAAGTTTTTAGGTGGACTACGGTCCCATGGTTTTTCCCACATCGGGTTTTCCATATTAAAAATCTTGGTGTTGATTTTGTGATTATTTGCATTATTTTTCATCATTGTTTGATTCTGTTTTACTGCACAAAGAGGGAAAGAATTGGGACTTGTGAATTGTAATTGTATTCCGCTGAATTGATCCGGGTAAATTGGTGTCCGGTTGTTCCAAATTTTCCCAACAAAGTGGTATCAGAGCACTGGTTGTGT